GTCTTGCTCTGTCACCCAGGCTGGAGTGCAATGTCACAATCTCAGCTCACTGCAACCTCAGCCTCCCAGGTTCAAGCAATTCTCCTGCCTCAGCCTCCTTAGTAGCTGGGATTACAGGTGTTTGCCACCACACCCAGCTAATTTTTTGTATTTTTAGTAGAGACGGGGTGTTGCCATGTTGGTCAGGCTGGTCTCAAACTCCAGACCTCAAGTGATCCACCTGCCTCGGTCTCCCAAAGTGCTAGGATTACAGGCGTGAGCCACCACGCCTGGCCCAATAAAAATAATTTCTAAAATAATAATAATAATAATTTCTAACCCACAACCTACTAGAGAAGAAAGGAGGCTGCTGTGGATAAGAAGCTTAATGGAGCTTTGAGGCTCAGTGGATGTCTCTCAGCGCCCCCTACTCCCAGGACCATCTTATTGATAGTGGTTTTGAAAACAAGAGAGAATGCTTTGGAGGAGAGCAGAGAACTGGTTATCCTTTCAGTGGAGACAGGGAACAGCTGGGTGTGACATCCTGGCTTTGTGTTTACTTGTCAGGGTGTGCCTGGTACTCACATGATGCTGAGTATGTTTAACTTTTGTTTTCTTTCTTTTTTTTTTTTTTTTTGAGACAGAGTCTCACTCTGTGGCCCAGGCTGCAGTGCAGTGGCACAATCTTGGCTCACTGCAACCTCCGCCTCCCAGTTCAAGTGATTCTCCTGACTCAGCCTCCCAAGTAGCTGGGATTACAGGCATGTGCCACCATGCCCGGCTAATTTTTTTTTTTTTTTTGTATTTTTAGTAGAGATGGGGTTTCACCATGTTGGCCAGGCTGGTCTCCAACTCCTGACCTCAAGTGATCCACCCGCCTCGGCCTCCCAAAGTGTGTTTAACTTTTCTTGTCTTCAAAATGCAGAAAGCATCTGGGGACAAGATGACAAGATTTGAAGTGCCAATTGATACATTTTGTGCTTTTCCTGAAGTGTTTTTTGTTTCCTTCTCCTCTCCAGGTCATTTCTAACAACTCTGTTTTATCGTAGTTTGTAGGATAAAGAGCTTTAAAAAGTGGTCTAAAAGAGATTATAAATTGCAACTCCCCCTCCAACAAACAATATTCTACCACATAATTTTCATTATCAACCCCATGAGGGTGAGAAATTATTTCCTGAGAGAAGATCTCAGTTATGTCCATGGAGATAACGCAGTAAACAAACATGGGAGGTGATGTCTGGTTGAAACAATTTATAGGGGTCGACCAGATGTAGTTCAATATCCTGCCTAAAAAGGTTTGGAAAGTACAATAACCAAGTTCAGACAAACTACTGAATTTGAAAGAGAAAACAACAGGATGTGGCGGCTGGAGGCACAGATGTGAGGAGGGCAGGTCTGGATTGAGTTATACTTGCCTGAATGTCCTTGGCCAGTTTCTGCCAGAGTGCCTGATCCTTCCCATAGCACAAGAAGCTATGTGTGTAGACATTGTAGTCCTTGCCATAGAGGCGAAATTGCAGAGCATTATCTGGGGACTCAGTAGTCTGGTTTTGGGGTACAAAAGTGATTTGTGTAGAGGCTCCCCCAAGGTCCAAAGCTCCAAAGGTTTCCTGATTATTGGTTTCATACGGGACTATGCTGAACCACCTCGTTTTCTGAAAGACAGTACAGTTACCAGTGCTAGAAATCTCTGGACACTCTGCTTTTCATACTATCTATTGGAGTCAGGGATTTCCTAAGGCAAAGAAACAGGGGCATAAAGATGAGGCAAAGCTCACTAGAGGCTCCTGATCTACAACAGATTATCAGCAAGAAAAGAGGGGCTTCAAAGACATAGCTCAGACTGCCAGACATAGAAGCAGTGTAGTGTTTACAAACAAGAGGTCTGAGGCCAGACACATTCAAGTTCAAATTCTCGCTCAGTCACTTGTTAGTTGTACAGCCACGGGCAGAATAATTACCCTCTCTAGACATCGATATGGGGCTCTAAAATGGGGATGATGTAGTACCTCATACTGTTCTAAGGATGAAATCAGAGAAAACATGAAAAGTGCTGAGCACAGCACGAGACACATAGCAGAAGGCAAATGTTAGCTATTCTAATTTTTAATGATACATTTTTAATTTCCTTTATGCCTCCCTAAGGCAAACACATGTCTTCCTTATTCTCCCAGTAGAAGGTCTTGTAAGAGAATTACACCTCTAGTGACCCTTACAAATGTGACAGTAAATTCATTCATCCATCCATCCATGCATCCATCCATCCATGCATCCATCCATCCATGCATCCATCCGTCCAGCATTCATTCATTCATTCTGGCTAGTGACCCAAGTACTGCCTGAGATAGCAATGGCATTGGCCTCCAGAGAGCCACCTCCATGGATGCTGTGAGATATTCACCTGACTGAATTTGCCCAGCAGATAGTTGATAGTGATCCAGCCATAGGCACCTTCCTCTTGGCCGGTAATGATCCTGGCACCCTGGAAGTCAAAGGGGTAGTTGCTGAGGCTCCTCTCCACCACATCCAGAACCCTGTCTGCCAACTCTTCACTTTCCATCCTGTACAAAGGAAGAGCTGAGGTTATCATTTTTGCTTTAATAATTTACATTACCCATTTCAGCTATAGCATCCACACACTGCTACTAAGAAGTGAATCATAATACACTGGAATAAATGGAGAGATGGGGATCTTCGCATATGTCTGTCCAAGGAACCCTTCTTTTGGATGAGGCAGAATTAATCTTTTGTTTATCTCTCTCCAAATCCACATCCTTCCAATCCTTTCGTAGGTTGGTTTTCCTTAAAAATACCATTTTTGTTCTGAAGTTCCCTGGCTCAAAAAGTTATCAAAGGCTCTTAAAATTACCGTAGTGGTGATAGCTGGGTGTGGTTTGATGACCATACCTGAAGCTGCTGTGTGCTGTATTAGCTACTGTGGGTGGCTCCTAGCTGGTTACATGGCCAGACTCTGCTCCAGGTTTTTAATTAGGCTTCTAGTAGAAACCAGGTGGCAAATGACCTGGAATAGACATCCAAACTCCTCTGCTGCCAGCCTGGGAAAAATCTTCCCCATATTGTAACTCAGTTCTTGGGTCTGTTTGAGACTTTGAGACCTGAAGAAGGAATCTTCCAGGGTTGTCTTAATGAAGATGGGATGTAATTGCTTCCAAGATCTAGGCTACGCAACACTGGGAGTCTCTGAGCGAGAGGATGCTACCTTCTAGCTGGCATTAGGCCCCTGTCATCTCTCATCTAAATGGCTTCCACACCTGCCAACTGCCTTCCTTTTATCCCCAGCCTTTCTCCCCTCCAATCCATCTTCTCTACCAGTGTCACGAGTTGTGTAGTGTCTTTTAATGGCTTCCTACTCTCTCTAAGATAAACTCCAAACTTCCTAGCATGGCCCATGGGGCACTTTGTGACCTGGACCCTTCCTTTTCAGAATCCCACTCAGAATCCTGGCTCCACCACTTCCCAGGTGTGTGACCTTGGGTGAGTTACTTCACATTTGTAAGTCACAGCTTCTGTATCTTGTTAACAATAATTAATTTCATAGAGTTGTTATGACGGTTCAATTAAGTGCTTAGCGCAGTGCTAAGAACATAGGAAGGGCTCAATAAATATGAGCTGCTACTATTATCATCATTATTATTTTACACTACTCACCTATCTTCTATCTAGGCAGGACTACTTACAGTCCTCTGAATATGCGTCTCACACTTCCCTACCTTTGCACATCTGGTAGAACACAAGCTCCATGAAGTCAGAGACTTTGTCCTGTTCACTGTTGTATCCTAAGTACTTAGAACAGTGCCTGACATATAATAGGAGCTGAATAAACATCAGTTACTGAATGCATGCTGTCTGCTCTGCTGATAAAGCCATTCCCTGATCCTCGAACTCATTTTTCATGATTCAGTTCAGGCATCCCTTCCTCTAAGTTTTCCTGACCTCCTCTCACCCTGGGCAGGGCCAAATGTGCTCCCATAGCAGCTCTGAGCACTCCTCTATTAAAACACTGATCACCCTGCATTGAAACTGACTTCCTTGAGGGTTGCGTTTTCATATTCTGGATAGAGCAGGCTTTATATGCTGAATGAATGAACAGGTGAACAAATAATTCACACAGGTATCAAGTGATATAAAGATGTGCTAGTTGTGAATATTTATGACATGGGATGTCTATGAGTCTCCTCTTATCCTCTTCCTCCTAGCTATTGAGTAGCTACGTCTGTAGCCCCAAACCCCAGAGTATATGGGCCTAGTCTTTCTCTCCCTATGCCCCATCCCTCTTGAATTCCCCATAGGGAGATGCACAAGGGGGCTTTTTTTTTTTTTTTTTTTTAACATACATAAAATCCTATTCCTATATATGCTAAGAGTTTGGACATTTTATTCACTCACTGAAATTTCCTTTCTTAGGTATGGACTTGGGTGTGTAGAACTTGGGGTATTAGGGAGTGTGGACCTCTCCCATAGCTTCAGAGGCTCTTTCACTGCCAAGCCTAACTCCCAGATACTCTTGGTCCCTACATGCTGCTATACCTGAGCAACCGCATGCCTGCCGTGGCTCCCAGGTAAACGGGTGTCTCTTGGTGCTGGGACCTTGGAATCACTTCCCTAGCTCTTTCCATGCAATCAGTCAGGTAAATGCCTATTTCATTTACTTTCTGAACATATTTTGAGATTCCAGGACCTAGGAAAAGATGTAGAAGATAACAATCTTTTAAAAAAAATTATAAAACATACCTTAACAATAGTAGATCAAAATATGGTGTTTTGAAAAAAATACAAGAAAACAATTTCCTGATATACTATACATTAGGTTATTATACTTAGAGGATAATTCACCGGACCTAGCCTTGAGAGGATTTAATTTCCAAACTTTAAGTTGGGTCTGTCCAGTGTTCAATAATTCTGCCACTGGATGGCGCAATTTCATATTCAATTGCATAATGTTCTCAGACTTTAATGGGAATCTTATAGATAGCTACTCCATTAGCTGCTTTTTGATATTTCCTCCACAACATTGTAATTAATGACATTAGTTCCTAAAAGATCTAAAGATGACACTTAGGATAAAAATTAAGCAGCAGACAAATTGGCTTTTACTGAAAAGATGAAAGCTGCTACTAACTAGCTATCTGATCCTGGCCAGCACCTTAAAGTTTCTGAGGTGGAGCTGCTTCCTATTACAAGAAAGAGAAACAGAATCTACATCTCCTCAGTGACTTTTCCACTCTGATATCCTGCCTCCCTAGCAAAACTGTTTTTCCAGTTTGAGAGCAAAACTGACTGTTGCTATGGAGGATTAGAGCCAAGATTCCTTAAGCTTTTTGAAGTTATAACAACACTTTCATCTCACATTAAGATAAACATCTTCACTATCAGTGCTTCATAGCAGAGTAATTGCTTTAAAGATAATTATTTAAATAAGTTATCCAGATCATTCACAGGTTTTCAAACAGCCTAATAACCATGAGAAAATCAGCGCTAAGTTACCAGCTAATTGTTTTGATTCAGAAAATTTGTGTTCAATATTTGATTAACTAGAGAACTCTCTCTTTTGAGAGGGAAAAATCCTGCATGTTAGGCCAAACGCTCATGGGTTAAGTCTCAGAAGAAAGATATCTTCTAGATTTTTTTTTTTTTTTTGAGACGGAGTCTTGCTCTGTTGCCCAGGCTGGAGTGTAGTGGCGCAATCTCGGCTCACTGCTACCTCTGCCTCCCAGGTTCAAGCAATTCTCCTGCCTCAGCCTCCTTAGTAGCTGGGACTATAGGCACGCACCACCATGCCCAGCTAATTTTTTTGTATTTTTAGTAGATACAGGGTTTCACCGTGTTAGCCAGGATGGTCTCCATCTCCTGACCTTCTGATCTGCCCACCTCAGCCTCCCAAAGTGCTGGGATTACAGACATGAGCCACCATGCCTGGCCCTTAAAATAACTTTTAAAAATGGAAGGCAGTGGGTTAAATAAAAGCCAATAAAATGAGGGATTTGGGCTTTAAGAAAGGCTAGAAGTACTGTCTCAGTATTGATGGAGCCAAAGTCCCAGTATTGATGGGCTACTGGGTAGAATGACTTGCTCTCTTGGAAATATCTCCTCTCTACTACTTTCTTGATAAACTATGAAAATTAGTGGATTCCGTAGCCTATCAAACTAAAAATCAATTATCTTCTAGGATCTAGGCTATTGGTCTGACTAAAAATAAACAGTGGGTTCCCAGCTCAAAAGGCTAAGAGAGAGAAAAGTCAGAGAGATTGTGGTACAATGGTGCATGGTGGGGTACTGGGTAAAGGGAGTGAAAGCTGAATGTCAACCACTCTAACTTATATTATGACCTTAAAAGAAAAAAATCATTGATATATAATCCAGCAGCTCAGAGTAGCAGGAAGCCTAGAGTGTAATTAGGGAACCTAGATTCTTGTCTCAATTCTGTTGCTACTTTCAAGGCACTAATCCTCCAGGTTTTTGTTTCCTTCTCTGTGAAACAAAATTTAAACGATCTGTAAGTTCCTTTTCCCAGCCCTAAGAACCTATAATTTGGTCTTTCCTCCCTAAACAGAGGCTGAAAGCTTTGAAAAATGTCTTCCAAGCTGTAGATCAGGGTACAAAGATTAAGAGAGCAATATCTGAACCAGCCGGATTGGCATCACCTAGGAACTTCTTAGAAATACAAATTCGCAGGCTTCATTCCAGATCTGCTGACTCAGAAACTCTAGGGGATGGGGCCCATCATCTGTGTTTTTGACAAGCTCAAGCAGTTTCAAGTTTGAGAAGCACTGGCTAAGATGTAGACTTGAAGTTAGGCAGAACTTGGTTTGAACCGCAGCCCCATCACTTACTAGCTTGAGTAACAAACAAGTGGTATAACCTCTCTCAACCTCACTGCCCCCATTTTTAGAAAATTAGTATAATAATACATACCTCAAAGGGAGATTATGAGGGTATACTTAAGTAACACATGTTCGGTACTAAGTACATAGCATGCAGAAGTGTTCTGTTGATGGGAGCTACTATTAATTATATTTATGTGTGTTTATTCTTAGGGTTTGATCATTAAGGACTGATTTCAATATGATTTCTGTAACGATAACATAACAGCAGCTGCACTGTGTTCTTCACTTGGCTTCCTATGCTTGGGGCTCCTTTTTCTCTTGTGTTCTACTGGCCATACACCTCTCATGTTCTCATGCCCCACTGTCGGCCTCCCATTCCCTTGGTCGTCATCTTACCTTTAACCCTGCATTCTTCTACTTGATGCACCACCCCTGTGTCATTTTCCTTTTCTGCTGGCCACTTATAGATGTATAAACTTGTGTGAGAAGAACCCGCATCCAGCACAATCCCATACTGAAAGCAAAACAGACCAAAAACTTAGCAGTATCACATCACTCATCTCCATATTAGGCTTGCAAGAGAAAGGACTGGAATTTTCAAAAACATGAGGAGAAAGTATTTGAGAGGAACATTGAGGAGATGGCACTGGAGTCACTTCGATCACAAAATCTACCAGGATACGAACCCTGCTAGAATGGGGCTGTTCATGCTGGTTGCATGTTAGAAATATTCAGACCTTATGCAGAACAGGGCCCAAGAAGCAGTATTGTTTAGAAGCTTCTTAGGTGATGCTAATGTGCAGCCAAGATTCAGAACCACATGCTGAAGTAGCTGAGACACTGTGGAAGGAACAGAAAGCCATTAATCTATAGTCCCCAAATTTGTCTACACATTGGAATCATACGGGAATCACCTGGAAAGCTTCAGTGGCTACTGATGCTTGTGTCCTAGACCCAGATACTGTGATCTAATTGATCTGGTATGTGTCCTGGGCTTTGAAATTTTTATAAGGTCTCACATGATTCTAATGTGCAGGTAAGTTTGGGAACCACTGAGTTACTCCACTGAGTGCCAGTAAGACATAATAAATATCTTCATCTAATTTTAGTTCAATAAATGCAGAGTTTGTTTTAAGGAGAGGTGTAAAAAACAGTAAATGCACTCACTTTTAAATTATGAATATAACTGTAAAATTGTATTTAATATATTTTAAAATATATGTACTTAAACTTCATGTTTTTGGCTTTACGAGTAGGGGGAGATGAAAAGAAGAAAAAAGGAGGAAAGAAATTTGGCAGAGGAGACGGATAGATGACAGCAGGAGAAAGAACTAGATGATCAGAAGAGAAAGAACAAGTCACCATGTTGTATTTCACGAGTGCACTAAATGTACCAGGCAGGTATTGTATGAAGCAACCTGTATGAATTATCCAACTAAACTCTCAGAACAGTGCTATAGAGCAGGTACTATTTTTACCCCTTCTATATAGGTGAGAAACTAAAGTACGAAGAGGTTCAGTAATTTCCTCAAGATACACAGCTGATAGGTGACAGAACCTGGACGTGAATCAAAGTCAGACTCAAGACTTTATATCCAGAAACACAGAAGCAAGAGCTGGGCAATAATTTTCAAATTGGTGCCCCCTTTTAAGGACATGAAATGAGGGGTAGCTACAGTAAAGTGTGCAAATATTAGGCATACACCTCAATAAATTTTTGTATATGTGCACATCCATATAACCACCACCCAGATCAAGATACAAAACACATTCTAGCCCTCACAAGGCTTCCCGGTGCCCCTCTCAGTCAGTTACCACTGTCTTAACTTCTCCCACCATGTATGAGTTCTGCCTGTTTTTAAACTGCAATGCATGAACTCACATAGTATGCCTCCTTTATGTCTAACTTCTTTCACTTTACATTATGTAAGATGAACTCAAACTGTGTGTATCAGTACATCATCTTTTTCCATCACTGCAGAGTATTTCATTATATGGATATACTATATTTTTATCCATTCAACTGTTGATGGACATTCGAGTTATTTCCAGTTTGGGGCTACTGGAAATACAGCCGCCTGAAACATTCATGTGCATTTCATTTTGTTGAAATAAGTTCTCATTTCTTTGGGGGTATTTACCCAGGAGTAAACTGCTCAATGCCCATTTTGATAAACTGATAGTCATCTTTGGTTACATCCCTGAGCTTACTCAGGATTAAAAAATGCCATGATTGAGTAATGACATCTGACATGAACTTGGGAGAAGAGCATGATGGCACATGTGCTTTTTAATCTTCCTTAGAGAAGAAACATAGAGGGAAGTAAATGGGGAAGCAAAAGGAAGAGAAGCAGGAGACGCTTCTGAAATGTGAGCCAATGACTCTTGTCACATGGCTGCTTATTTAAGCTGCAGACCTCAAAATGTGGTCTGCCACTTTAAAAATGCTTAATTTAGCTGTGTGTGTCTGTGTGTGTGTGTGTGGTGTGTATATGTGAATCTCCCTACATATATAAGTTAGGTTGCATGAACAGAAGCAGTGGTCTGGAAAGAGGAACAGTAGAAATGACCTTGTTTGGTTCGTGGAGACACCAATGTGTGGGCCCCAGTGAAGACCTGAAAATGTAGGTGGCAACAGGTATATATATCACCTGCTATGAATCTAAGAGACTCCAGGGAGAAAAGAGACAAGAAATAGGTTTAAGAGACCTCCCTGGACCACTGGGAAAAGCTAAAAGTAGAGCCTATTGAGTGTCAAACCCTATTCCATTTCACTAGACCAGGGAGTATCACCGTACAGACCTTGTGAGGACCCTTGACCTGCCATCACCTCCACCGTGTTCTCTTCCTAGTTACACACAGTGGGGATTCCCTCCAGTAATTAGCATTATGCCTTTAGAAAGAAAAGGGCCTGTAAGCTTTGGGCACAGCAAGGAAGCAAGCTGGACAGACTCCTCTACAGCTAGGCCTGCAGTGAAAGGAATCCAAGAAATGGCTTAGGTGGTGGCCACTGTGGGCAGAGAGGAACACTGACTGAGGTCTGGGGCCACTGGACCCGTGAGAAACCTCCCAGAGTGGAGAAAAAGGCTCAGGAATTACATGGCAGAAAATTCTGTTGTTCCCTAACAGGGCCCCTGATTACTTCCTGCCAGAAAATGTTCCAACCACAGCAGCATATGACAAACACTGGCAAGGTATAAGCAGCAAGCAGCCTTTATCTGGGATCAGGACATTTTATTCTAACATTGTTGATATGAAAGTCATTCTTCCCATAGAGCCAAAGAACCAGGCTTGCTTTTGTCAGCTTGTTTTCTCTAAGGCCTTACACAGTGAGGTGGTTGAGAAACAAAAGCTTTTACTACGTCACATTTGATAAGTGTTTGAGAAGGGGGTAAAGCATATTTTAATGCAGAAATTGAGGACATTTCCTCTTGTGTACACAGTACACTAGCATGCTAACCTGTGCGACTGTGCTAAACATTTTGTCTTCTAAAATGGCTTGCAGAATAAAAAACTGGCATTGTTTGCTGCTTGAGAGACAGATAAAGCTTGACTGAAAGTTCAGTTTGAGCATTTGGGGAGTTTGCCTTTCTTTGTTACAATGTCCATCAGAGCCCAGGTAGCCACAACGTTTTGTTCTCTTTCCACCACACTAGCATTTTCCAATGCATGTTCCAGAGAGTACGAGGCCTACAAGGGCTTCAGTAAATAAAGCTTCCCAGAAGTTTGGAGAATGTTCATGTTCTCTCTGCCTCCTGGGCTCACAAGCCCATTAGCTAGCGAATGTCTCAAAGACTAGCAGTGGAGAAACCCAACACTTCTCTGTAGCTCATATTTAAATATTTCCAAAAGTCCCTATGAGTATATCCTTTAAAGAAAACAGCAAGATTTGGGTGGTAAGGAAGAGATCTGACACTCCCTCAGGATTATTTCAATATTATTTTCTATTTTAAGAGTACTAAAAGTTTCTTAAATATCACTCATAAAATGAAGTTAAAAAAAGATGTTTAAGATTCTACCAATTAGATATCACTTTTATTTTTATTTATTTCCTTCCAAGTCTTTTTTGAATGCATAGTATTGCCCAAAGAAATTGTAGAATTAGAAAAAAAAACTATTCTAAACTTCATATAGAACCAAAAAAGAGCCCAAATAGCCAAGGCAATCCTAAGCAAAAAGGATAAAGCCAGAGGCATCACATAACCTAACTTTAAACCACAAAGCTATGATAACTAAAACAGCATGATATTAGTACAGAAATAGATACATAGATCAATGGAACAGAAGAGAGACCCTGAAATAAAGCCACACACTTAAAACTAACTGATCTTTGACAAAGCTGACAAAAATAAACAATGGGAAAAGGACTCCCTATTTAAAAAATTGTGGTGGGAAAATTGGCTAACCATATACAGAAGTATGAAACTAGACCCCTAAGTCTAACCATATACAAAAATTAACTCAAGGTGGAATAAACACATAAGTGTAAAACCCTCAAACTATAAAAGTCATAAAAGAAAACATAGGAAATACCCTTCCAGACATTGGCTTCAGTAAAGAATTTATGACTAAGTCCTCAAAAGCAAATGCAGTGAAAACAAAAATTGACAATTGGGACCTAATTAAACTAAAGAGCTTCTGCACAGCAAAAGAAACCAGTGACAGAGTAAACACACAACCTACAGAATGGGAAAAAATATTTTCCAACTGTGTATCCAACAAAGGACTAATATTCAGAATCTATAAGGAACTCAAACAACTCAACAAGAAAAAAATAAATAACCCCATTAAAAAGTGGGCCAAAGACATAAATAAACACTTCTCAAGAGAAGACATACAAGTGACCAATACACTTTTGAAAAAATGTTCATCATCACTGGTCATCAGAGAAATGAATGTTAAAACCACAATGAGATACCATTTTGTACCAGTCAGAATGGCTATTAAGAAGTTAGAAAATAACAGATGCTGGCAAGATTGTGCATACAAGGGAATGCTTACACACTGTTGGTGGGAATGCAAATTTATTCAGCCCTGTGAAAAGAAGGTTAGAGATTTCTCAAAGAACTAAAAATAGAATTGCCATTTGACCTAGCAATTCCATTACTAGGTATATACCCGAAGGAAAACAAATTATTCTACCAAAAAGACACTTGCACTTGTAAATTTATCATGGTACTATTCATAATAGCAAAGACATGGAATCAACTCAGGAGTCCATCAATGATGAATTGTATAAAGGAAACATGGTACATATGCACCATGGAATACTATACAGCCATAAAAAAGAATGAAATCATGTCCTTTGCAGCAACATAAATGCAGCTGGAGGCCATTACCCTAAGCGAATTAACACAGGAACAGAAAACCAAATACTGTATATTCTTATAAGTGGAAGCTAAACGTTGGTTACACATGAACACAAAGACGGGAACAATAAACATTGGGGATTCCGAAAGAGGGGAGGTAGGGAGGAGGTCAAAGGTTGAAAAACTACCTATCAGGTTCTATGTT